GTTCTTTCTTTCTTAGAGTAAAACATTTTCTAAGACAAGATTTTACTTGTTCAAAATGAATGCTGTAATATGAAGCATTATATACTACATAAATATGTGTGTGTTTTGTGCTGTCAAGTCAGAAATGACTTATCGTAACCCTAAGTATCTCATGGTAAGTGAGATAGTTAAGGAGTGGTTTTCCAGTTTTACTCTCCCAGTCAGCTTCCATGGCTGAGCAGGGATTTCAACCCTGTTCTCCAGAATCCTAGTCCATCACTCTATCCAATACACCATACAATACTGGGAATCCACTACATAATTAGGGAACAATAACTCTTGTGCATAATGTATACATGTGCAGTTCTCAAATCGAAGATGTGTTTCTTGCTGCCATCTTTATGAGGAGCGTGCCAGCGGTGTGGATTGTAATACTTAGGATGCAGCATTTTCTTTCATACAGAGCATTAATATAGAGCATTTGTACAGTTTTGTTTGTACAAAACCTAAAGCGTTCAGATTTTTGAAATCAATAAATATGCCAAATAGTACACTTCCATATGCTAATTAGAGAGTTAGTGTGATGTAGTAGGTAGAGTGATATAGTAAGACTCAAGATCTGAATTCAAATCTCTGCTCAGCCATGGAAACTCGGCATGTGTGTGTGTGCCATTGTTAAAACCACTCCTTAAATATATCACCACATTAACCCTATTAGGATCATCACAAGGCAGATGTGACTTGAAGGCACATAAAAGCAGCAGCACATGCTGCCTAAATTGTGAATGTACTAATTTATACAGCAAAAGCCATAAAATAAGTTTAGGTTGGATACAAAAATAAATAGTACATGTATTATAATGTTCTGCACTTCCCCAGTGGGGAGAAAAAAGATAAGAAAAAACCCTAAGATTCTGCCTTCACCCCAATGACTTTAAACTTTCTGGAACTGTTACATCTTAAATCTGTTGCATTTTAATACTAGCAATTGGCGTTCCTGCTAACTGCTGTTTGAACCCTTAATATTTATGGCACCAGGTCAGATTTAATCCAATTTGTTTCTACTCTTTGAGAAGATTCTAGATCTAAGTTCTTCTATTCAGATCTCCAGCCCTCTAAAATCTTATTTTCCTGGTGTCAAAATTCAACCCAAATAGTACTTTTTTGAAAAGCCTCTCTGGAACAGGCTTTCCTACTTCTATATATAAAGTTTTGATCAAACTCCGGGAGGCAGTGGAAGATAGGAGGGCCTGGCGTGCTCTGGTCCATGGGGTCACGAAGAGATGGACACGACTAAACAAAAAAAACATATACAAAGCAGAATTTGCTCCAGGAGCACTTATAGGATGGTCCATTTTGTGACTCTCCCTGTTCCCTGGAGCTAATGAAGGAGTAGAACAGGGAAGTATGTCCTTAGAGCCTACCCTACAGTATAGACTCTAATTTGTTTGCTGATGGGGAGTCTGTACCCCTTTTTCAATGGGGAGGGTAAGACCTCTGAAAAGACTCCAGATGTTCGTTCTCCAAATGCCTTGGGGAGTAGGCCACATCGGGGAGTTACCTTAAGCCAGGATGACCCTGTTGTGTGTGTACGTGGCTTACAGATAGTCACTGAACTTCAGTTGCTGTTGAGCGCTTATCCCTCTCAGCAAATCCTAGCTTTTGTGTTTCAGCTAAGCAAATAATTGCTTGCTTCTCATGTCAAAGCTTATGTGAAAGGGGAATCTATTTTAACAACAGTGAAAAGGAATGCTTCATGTTTAGGAAGATTGTTGTACGTTTGCCATAGAGAAATTCCATGTCAGTTGTGAAGAGCACTGTTATGTTCTTTTCTCCCCTTTTCTCTCCCCACCCCATTAAAAAAACCCCACAAAACATCCAGCATTTGAGGGGTTACTTATAACAATTTGCGATATGGATCTAGCATGGGCTTGTATGAAATTACAAAATAAAAGGGGCAGAGATGCCATGATGATACTATGGATCCTGAAATGATTATTTGCCCTTTTTAAAGATCTCTCTTCGGCCAGTCCAACCAACACGTCACAAACCCCTACTGAGGTCACTGTGTGAAATTAGGAGGGCCACTGACACATCACCTAAAAGTAGACTGTACATCACCAAAAAGGAAGTCAAAGGGGGACACTTGATTTATATAAAGTTGCCTTTGATAATGTATAGTTGAAAGTTAGAAATTATTTTTAAACATTTTCAGAAGAATTAACACTGATGAAGGCTGTGGCCAACAGGCCTGTATACCTGCTGACTGCTGTCCAAACGCTCACTATGCCAAGGGAACACCAAGTTCTAGGTACCCTAATCTACAATGTTATTGTCGTTTATCTTTAAATCAGACTTGGGCTGGACAGCCTTCCAAATAAAGAACACATTTTAAAAAAAGTATTGTCCTGCATACATCTCCTCAAATGGAGGACTGTGCTTCTTAAAAGAGGATATATGCCTATCCTATGTGCAATTTTTCCAGTTCTCTCTCTCTCTCTCTCTGAAACAGTATGGGCGTCTGTTTATCCAGACACACTCCTTTTTGCATGTTACTATATTGATAGCCTTCTGCTGACAATTGGCTCTTCAGCAGGCTTTTGATAACCATAATTTAGTCCCTGGATGCTGGGTTTTTTTTAGCCGAGTAACTTTGCTTATAAAGCTTTTCCCGTTTTTAATCACTGGAAGTATTCTACTGCCTCCTGTGATACTTCAAAGAGTTTCCACAATATGTGTGTGTTGCACACGTGCGTGTGCATGCAGAAGTTTGCATGCTCAGGGCACAGAGTCCACTGATCTTCCTCCAAGGAATGCAGTCATTTTCAGGGATATCTAATTACGGAGGACTCGAGGCGGGCAGGTGATGCTCCCCTCAGACAACACTGTTTCTTGCTGTTTTGATTGGACTCTGGAATGCAGTTGCGCAAGCGACAGAGGTCTGGAGGATCACAGGGTGACCAGCCAGAGCTAAACAACATTCTGTCAGGTGCTCCCACAGGCTGTGCCATTTTAAAAACCTTTTATTTACTGAATGCCTTTATTAGTAAAACGTTTTATTTACTGAATTTCAAAACCGTTAATTTACCGAATGCTTTCTGTGTATTGTGACACTGAACAACCTGCGTAGGCAAGTGCTTGCTGCCACCTCAGTAATTAGGCTGAAGAGTGGCAAAAGGCAGTGAAGAGCAGCAAAGCTGTCCACGCCCAGAAGATGCAAGAGGTCAGAACATGATTGCGGCCTGTAATGTCCATCAACCTGTGTAGGACAGTGGATGTTACCTTATGTATGTTATTCTAGTGGGCTGTGGTTAGAGTGCGTTTTGAGTTCAACTCCCAGCTGAGCTGTGAAACTCGGTGGGTTGGTCGCTCTCAGCCGGACTTTATAGGATTGTTGTAAGGGGTGAGGTGGGGGGAGACCAGCTAGGAATGCCACCTAGATCTCATGAAAGGAAAATATGGGTTAAATATAAATAATAAATAGAATGCTTACACACAGAGCAGCTCTGCCTGTGATAGGGCTCATATTTGTATTTTGCCTCAGTGTGTGGAAGTGATGGGGTTCAATGATTCTGTGTGTGACTCCTCTCCGCACACAGAACATGTGAACAACAACGAGGAAAGGATTGCATTGTTGTCGCTGGAATGTATTGTCTTCAACATCTAATCCACTTTTCCCAACTCATTAACACTGTCAGCCAATGGAAGGATGAATATTCCATTCTTGCCCATCCCTTTCAGCAGGGGTGGGCAGTTAATTTTTATAGGGGGCCACGTGAAAAATCTGAAATAAAAGATAAGCAACTGGTCAACTTTAGATAAAAAGCTATAAATGGTTTTGATGTTCAGCTTGTTCAGTGAAAGAAATCCAGTCTGTCTTGGGCTTGAACAAGTGCTTGAACACCCGACTGTAGGGATGACCGGCAGGCAGGACAGGAGTGGCTTGCGGGCCATATGCGGCCCTCGGGCCGCACTTTGCTCAGGTCTGGCTTTCAGCAATCTCTGATCTGAGAAGGATTAATTGGTAGGATGTCACAAATAAAAGTTAAAGTGCATCCATAGTATATTAACTTGGGAAGAGTTCCTCATGGGTTGAGTATTTCTATAGTGTTTTGATGACTCCTCTAGAGTAAGGTCTGGTACATCATGCCCAAATGCACAATCATCTTGTGTATAGGGTGCTATTTGAAAAACGGATCATAATCCCAAGCAATAGTGGAGAAGTAGGCATTAGTACAGAAAGGCAGCTGAGAGCCGACCTAAAAAATCCCAGTGGAACCCAGACAGTTCAAATCAATATTTGCTTGTATTAAGATTACCTCAGAGGATAGTGCGGGGGGGGGAGGGGCTGAAAGTATTATTAAGCAGGCAAAATATTGTCGATGAAAGGGACAGAAGTGGTCAAGTCATTCCAATCTTGGCTGCATGCTGTAGGAATCTGTGCACCACAGCATCTGGCTCCTAACTTTACAGTTTCTATTCATTTTACCCCATGGCAAATTCAGTGGTGGGGGAAGGGCAAGGCTGGTAAACGTGGTACAGATGTGAGAAAGGTTTCTTGCATTATGTACGCGTGCAGATTTCATGTGGGGTGTGTGCTTACTTAGGTCACTTAACCTAGGATTTGTCCAGGGCTAAATCATGTTTGCTACTCTACCAAAACCAAGCAAAACTGGGTGGAGGAAAAGCAGCTACTGCA